CTGCCCTAGTCCCCTGCTAGTAACTGATTCATTTTCCAGGTCACAGCAGATGACAGTGGGCACTTTCAACTCTCTAGGCCTAACCTATCATCTCTGTGCTGCCCCTGCTTTATAGGCCAAGGGCAGTCTGTGTTGATTATGGGAGACCCTCTTTCCTTGGAAGAGATCAGTATTTCCAACTCTTCTCCGAGTCCCCAGAAAGTCTTTACTGTGTCTCCTGGCCTTCAAACCTGATCACTGTGCCATAGCCAATAAATGATAAATCCAACCAATCAAAGAATGTATATCAAGTGTCTCTGTATGCCCAGTGGTGTGCTATATGCAATGGTGGCCTATACTGAAATGCTATAAGTGATCTTTTCCCTTAGGATGTTAATCACCTCCCCGGGAGGATAAAGCTGATACACAGGAAGCAAGTAGAAGATTGCATGGTTACCGATTATCAAAGCTCAGAGTAGAGACTATTTATTGAGCACCTACTATATTCCAGGGACTTTAAATGTTTAAATGGAGTACCTCATTTAGTTGTTCAGCAATGATATAAGACTGGTTCTACTGTTATCCTCAATTTACAAAAAAGAAATGGAACCCCAGAGAGGTTAGGTAACTTGTACCCAAAGTCACAAAGCCAGTAAGCAGCAAAGGAGGAATCTGGGCCCTGTTTTGGGTAACCGTAAAACTTTCAGTCTCTCAACTACCGTGAATTAAGAAATAGCCAGATGAGGCTTCCTAGAGGAGGTGGGAGCTGACCTAGGTGAGTAAGATACAAATAACCTCAGAGGAATAAGAGAATGAAGCCATTCTAGATAGAGGGAAGAGTCTGAGTCAAGCACGGAGTCATGACTGCGAAGCGTGCTTGCTGGTGGACCTGCTGGACAGGAGCAGAGCAGATTAAGAGAGGAAGGCGGGGTGGGGCCAAATGACACCACAAAGCAGCAGCTTCCTCCATCAGGAGGAAGAGGCTGCTCCTTGGCCTGTCCATGCCCCTAAGAAAGCACCTCACCCTCAAACCCACATAATCCACTCCAGAGAGCAGTCCATGCCATCTACTCCCATGTAATCATTCTTCTCTTCTTAAAAGCATTGCCCCCAAAGCGACCTTCTGCAGACACTGAGAAACCCATTTCTATCCTCTGGACGTTACCTGTTAAGAGTAGCTTCTACTTGCCCCGCTACAGCTTTTCCGTGAGTCTGGTTCTTTTTCCCTTTCAGTTTTAACCTTTTCCAAAACAGGAAGTAAGTATTTGTCTAATTATCAGTCGGTCCTAAGTTGCCACCCCTTCACTGGACCCCAAATGGATATAGGAGATGATGCCAGAGGTGATTTACATATAACTTCTGATTTTGTGATAACCGGTCCTAGTCTCCATGATTAATATCTCTGGAGACCTTTAATTTGAGATCCTTAAGGATTCACATCAGTTGGAACGTCAGGAAAAGGTACCCGCATATCCTTGGGAATCCTTGTCTTGCAATACTGGGTGACTTAATTTGAACACCCTCTCCCGAAGAGACTCACCATATCTACTGGGAATAATTCAACACGGGGGCCACAGCTTGGTGAGCACTCCTACTACGGAAACCTCAAAGAGGCAATGAAAAGCAGTTCTGGCAACAATGGAAAATAAGGCAAGCTCCTGCCAAGTAAGTACTTTGCAAACAACAGTAAAAACGAAACGTGTGAACTCGTGACCAAGGTCTACTGGTGCATTTCGGAAAGGTCTCACAGAACCCGAAATGGAGAATCAAGGCTGACACCCATCTCAGGGGAGAAGAGCGTCCCTTTAAGAAGGGATTGTACCAGCTGGCCACACTACAGCTCCCAGAGATTTCCTGGCTTGCCTCCTAGCCCCACCCACCAGTCTCTGGCCTCAGCAACGCGTGACGTCAGAGAAAGCTGACGCTGGCGATAGGCTGAACAACGCAGCTAGGTCAAGTCCAGTCAGAGGAAAGAAGTTTGTCTCCATGTGGAAACCATGTGTCTCTAGCTGGGAGGGGGAGGAGGAGGAGGCGGAGAAACTGAGATCAAGTGATTACAGGGGAACTGGCTGAAACGAAGGCGGGGAGGTTGTGCACCTGAGCCGGCCAGCAATGCCCTTTGCAGTAGTGACCTAAAAAGAAAAAAAAAAAAACTTGCCCAACAAACAAAGCTTGAGCCCCCTCCCATCATAATAATAATTAAACAACTAGGATCCCTGCTTCCTTCCAAAAACCAGGGACCTGAGAAATGCTGTAGTCCTATCGGAACGCCCAGATCCCCCTCCCTCCCCCAACGACTGAATGATGTAAGCGTTTCGGAAAGCGGGGCTCTGAAGCAAAACAAGCCCCGCGCGCGCGGAGCGACCCGCAGTGCCCGAGCCCGGCGCACGCACGACCCGCCCCCCAACTCGCGTTATTGCTGTGCACACGCGGACCGCCGTGACGCGCGGGCATTGTGTGCAGCGAGCAGAAAACAACGGCGAGCGCCACCAGCGCGAAGAAGCGCCCCCAGTAAAATGAGGCAGATGTAGGGCCCGCCGTTTTCCGAACCAGGAAACCCAGACCTGGCGGGAGGGGGGGGGCCGAAAGTGGGGAAAATAAAGCAGCCCCCGTGGGCCGCTTCTGTTTGCTAGGGGCATAATAGAGGGCCCGGCGATGGTCGCCCGTAGTTTGCTGGAGGTCACCCTCGCCTGCGAGAGCTATTGGGGAGGGGGCGAGGGCCTGGAGCTGGGTCCCCGCAGCCAAGCCGGGCAAGGCGCAGCGCCCCACGCTCTCGGGGAAATCTGGGGGCCGTTGGCATCACGTCATGCAGAGCCAAACAGCGGCGGCAAATAGAGGCAAGAGAGCTAAAAATACTCCCGCGGGGAGCCGGCCGGAGGGGGGGGCAGTAGGGCCGAGGGGGTCATTACGCACACGAAGTTGACTTTGACTGGGGCGCTGAGGTTCCCGAACCCCTCTCGGGGGCTGCGGGGCTTGCAGTGCGGTCACTCGGGAGAGGGACCGGGAGGAAGCCCCCTGGCTTCCTCCGCCACAGGAGCCCCGCTCCGCTGCCGCTGGCCCGCCCCGTGCGGGGTAGCCCGGCCCGGCGCGCCCGGCCCTCTGCTTACGTGACTGGTGGCCACGCCGGAGCCCCGGCACGGGGTAAACTAGGAGGTGGCGGCGGCCAGGGCGGCCGGGGACGCCGCGGGGGAGGCGGCAGGGGCGGGGGCGGAGGTCTCTGATTGTCTGCGGGTGCGAAGGGGGGGGCGGGACGCGGTGGAAGCTCCAGCCACCTCCTTAGTACACCATGCTTGGCGGGGGTGGGGGACCAGGTTTGCCACACACTGCCAAGGTGCCCTCTTTGGGTGCACCCCCCCCGCCAGAGTCGGCACCACGGGACAGACTCCGGAGAACCCCGGACAGGGGTGAGGGGTAGCTAAAGAAATCGCGCCCCTCCCCCCTCCAACAAAAGCAAACACACCAAACAAAACCACGTCTTCACCCAGCTCCCCACCAGCTCTGGCTTTTCAGAAACTACCCTCCTGACGAATGCACTCCCCCCCCCCCCATGAATAATCGCAAACTGAGTCGGCTACACAGCCAGCGATGCGCCTTTCTCGCAGCCCTGGCACTCCGAGAAAACAGGAGAGAAGAGAAAGAAAAGAACATACACAACCGTCCTCCCAACACAAATCCTTGTTTTTGCCTTCAGCCACTGCACAACTGGCGCTGGCAACACACGGTTACTTTCACCCTGAAGGCCTGGGTGTTGGTCAGCTAAGGTGTTTTTGTGTTTGAGGACTGTTGTTGTGTTTCAGGGGGAGGAGGTTGCAAGATCTGACACGTTGCAATCGGACCATTCCCCCCCCCCCCCCCCCCCTGATCTTCCTACTTGTTCGGACAGATTAAACAGTCTGGTTTTCTCCAGTACATCGGTTTATCTGCCTCGACCCCTTCCCCCTTCTCGCAGCTCTTATTTGTGAGGACCATGCTGGAGACGCCGCACACGCGTGCCCCCGTTAGGACGCTGAGTCGACTGCCTGGGAGGACTGGGGGACCCAGCAGACAGGGGCAAAAATGAAACAAACAAATACAAAAGGAGGCCAGGCCGGGGTGGGGCTCCCAGCACACCCCCCCCCCCACCACCACCACCAAACATTGCTCTCCACCTGAATCCGCGAGGGCGGGGTGGGGGGGCAGAAGGACGGCAGAAATCGACAAGGCAGGCGTTTGCCAGGCGCGCTCGCTCGTAAGTCGTCTCCCGGAAAATAAAGAAACCGCACACAACAGCTCACACCTTCTTCCCCAACTATTGTTTCCTGCGAGATCCCAAAGTTTCCTTTTAACTGTGTCCCCCTCGCCAAGTTTCACGGGCGCAGGACGGCGGGTCCGGGGCGAGCTGCTGGTGCTGCCTGGCCCAGCCGGCCTGTTTGGGGGAGGGGGGGTGGCGGCACCCCAGGGCAACAGAGGTGCTGGGGGACTGTATCCGTGGACGCGATGGCCGGAGCCTTGCTGCGCGAGGGGAGGAAAAAGCACAGTAGACAGGAGGGAGAAGCCGAGCCGAGCCAGCCAGACCAAGCCCACGCCGCGGAGGGCTGTTTGGTTGTTGTTGTTATTGTTGTCGTGTGTGTCTCTTGTGTGTTTTTTTTCTTGAACCGCTGAGCTCTGCCTACGATTTCCAACTTTCGGCTTCTAATCCCCACCCCACCCAGGAACGAGCGACAGAAAAACAACACTTGTCTGCCCGAGAAGGCTGGGGCGGGGGGGGGGGGGGGGGGGGGAGGACGAAAGAGCCCCCGGAAGACAGGAGCACGGGGGTCCCGACAGCCCCCCCCTCGCCCCCCCCCCCGCTCGTCTTTGTTACATCTTTAGCAGCTTTGTGCGTGCGTGTCCTTTCTCCGGTGTCATCGGCTTTACTGCCGAGGGCTAGATGTGTGTGTTGGGGGGAGGGGGGCGCGGGCCGAGCAGGCGACAGGGGTCGCCCAAGTGGTTGAGGAAGAAAGAGCCGGGCGCCGAGGAGCAGCCGGGGCCCCTAAACTTACTTTTGTTTTCTTTCTCGATCTGCTCCAGGTAGCTGGCGGCCTCGAGCAGAATCTGCACGTTCTGCAGAAAAGTGTTGATGTGCTTCTCCATCGAGTTCTCGCTGGTGTTGAAAATGTCCGAGAAGGGGCACCTGAGCTTGGTCCCCGCGGGCTCCTCGGGCTGGGCCGGGGGCTGGGGCGCGGCCACCGCCGGGGGCGCGGCGGGGGCCAGCCCCGCGCCCTCACAGCGCGCCTCCTTGCGCGGCCGCCCGCGTTTGCCCATGGAGGAACCGGGGTCCGGGGAGCTCGTCCTTTTTTGGGGCTGCGCTGCCCGGCCGAGCTCCGGTCCCCAGAGGAGACCCGGCTGGCTGGAGCGGAGGAGGCGCCGAGGCGAGGAGGCGACTTGACTTCCCGAGCCTCGCTGCGTGCAGTTGTGTGTGTGAGTGTATGTGAGTGTGTCGGTCTCGCAGTGGGTCTGTGTGTATGGGAGATTGAATGAACCTACAGGACAGACGGAGGCGCTCTGGCGCCTGGGTCCTAGTGCGAGCCTGTCGCCATCGGACCGGTCAAAATAAAAGGTGGAGACAAGCGAGGCAGGGACCGCCCTCTGCCCGTCCCCGCACCCTTCCCCGCCTCTCCCCAAATCTTACCTCGGAGTAGAGCACTGCATTTCAACACTAATGGAAAAAATACTCGATGCCTCTGAGTGGACCTGCATAAAAACAAACTAGTAAGCTATTTTTTTCTTCACATAAAATTAAGACCTCGTGAACGGTCCAGCACAATGCCTCGCACATAGTGAGTGGGTCCCTATTAAATGGTAGCTGCTATGACTTTTTTTTTTAAATAAAAACCCAATCCGAAAACCCCATCGCATGTAACCTGAAGTTTCCTCCCCCCAATTCACACACCCCTACACATAGACAGGCACAGGCATGTGCCTTCATGGGGTCAAATGAAATCCCCAGGCCACCAAATCCCAGTTACAGATTTACTCACTCTTTCTTTCTTCCTTCAAATGCAAAGTTATTTTCCAGGAAGGGGGAGGAGATGTAAGCCTCTCTCTCCACACTCCTCTTCCCAGCCTTGGTCCAGCTGTGTAAAGCTCACACTAGGGTGCTTCCACACCTGGCACCCTTTATTTGACAGAGCAGCCGAAATGGCAGGCCAGGACCCCCACCCACACCCCCACCCCAGCTGAATTCCACCTTTTGGCTCTGAAGACTCCTACCCCCAGTTGACACTGTTGTTTTTACTGTGCTGCTATCACCCAGTCAGGATCTGCGAGAAACAGGGATGCTTTCCAGGCTTGGGAGGTATGGTGGGAGTCAGAGGGCTAGCTGAAGGCCATTAGGGAGTGTCACAGAGAAGGGTTCAAATCCAGCTCTGAAGCACACAGGCTGTGTGAGTTTGGGCAAGTTCCCTAACCACTCTTGGCCTGTTTCCCCATCCATGAAACTCTGATAAGGTTCTTGTGCTGATTAAATCATATCTGCACTTAGCACACTACCTGGCCCATGGTAAGATCTTTTTCTTTCAATCCAGACCCAGATAAGAGCCTAGGTCCCCTAATTGCTTCTAAGTTGTTGGGGGTGGGGATGGCAAGCTGAAGCAAACAAGACTCTTCTGCATTTTGTTGGAAAACATCTCTGCAACAAACCCATCTAAATATTGTCACCTTGCAAGGCCAACTGGAATTTTCCTCCAGGGGAACCATTTACACAAAAGCACATTAAATACAGCCCCCTGCAGTTGAGCAACCCCACCACCCTGCTCAGAAGCAGCTTCATACACGTTTGTCTGGAAGACCCTTATTGGAAATGGAAACTTTTTTAAAAAGGAGAGAAAGTACATTTCTTTGTAAAACATTCATTATGTAAAACTTAGAATACACGTACCCTCACAGAACCTTCAAGAAAGTCTTGTGTACTTTCAGAATGAAATAACCTGCTGCTGATATGACAGGAGCAATCGGTAACTGGCATTTTAAAGCCAATGTATTCACATTTGGGACCATAATATAATCATACTACATATACTGTCTGTCCATTTTCTGTCCTGTGACAAATTTTGCATGGTTGATCTCTGCATCCTTTAGCTAGGATAGAGTAGAAGTTCCCAAGAGCTGTAAAATAAAAGTTTACCTTCCATTATCAGAACAACTACTGACTTTTTTTCCTGCTGGGACCACAACCTGAGTGACTCATGTTTAAAAGTGTTTATAAGTATAAGGACTTTAGGAATGTATAGTTTCAAACAAGTTTTATCTAATGCTATCTTGCAAAAACCAGCACTTGTGTAACATAGCCCCGATCTCCCTTGCCCTAAGTGAAAGATGATAGTGAGACAATGAACCAGCTAAGCCCGAAGAAAACCTGAGTTTTCACCCCGGTGGGCACACCAAATGTGTATATATGCAGTGCAGTGCCCAACATGCATGTCTACACACACTCACCGAGATAGGCACACCCCACACATGAGTGCCGGGGCGGGGGTTAGGGTGTCTTGTAATTATTTATTTATCCCTGTTTCATCTCTCATAGGTCTGTGAGCTTCAGAAAGCCCAGTGGGAATCTTCAAGCTGGGCCACGGATCTGACCAAAGCCAAAATAAACAATGGCTTGAAGAAAATCTACAAAAAAGTGCTGATTTGCACTATTCCCACAGTCAGCCACAGCCCCCACCGTCATTCCCATGGAAAACACCACTGCTGGTGCCAAATCAATTTCCCCCCCTTCGTAGGGGCATTGTTTTTTGTTATTATGTGAGTTCTTAGCATCAGACAATAGTACCACAAGAGACTCAGTGGAGGCAGGAGAAATGCTTTTTTGTTTCACTAAGTCTGTGCCATTGTGCCCCAGACTCTAGCCCACAGATAGTAGTCACGTATATTCATTTTGGTAACATGTATGTGGAACGATGAAGCCACCAAGCTAAAGCTCCAAGCCCCATTCCTTATTTTTCTTTTCCAGAGCCCATCAAGTGTTAAATCATGTCGGGATCTTATTGCTCTCTCCCCGTTCCCACACCATCCCTCAATTATCAGTTCCTCTAATAAAGTTGGCCCCCACAGAAAGAGTGGCATTTCAGGGGTTATATCACAGGACAGGCATCCAGGATGCTGGGTTACAAGCTCAGCTCCATTCCCCGTTAGCTTTGCTTCCCGGGAGGAGGTACTCAAGCCTTTTGCACCTTACTTTCTCCGGGGCTTTGACTCCATAAATAAACAAGCCTCTTTGGAGACTTGCTGGCAGTTTTTGCAGAGAACAGGTAGTAGATGAGAAGGCAGCTGGCCTGAGAAAAATATGTGAACTCCTTCAAAGAAAAGTAGTGATTTTTTTGCAGTGCCCAGCGAGGCCAGACAAGATGTTTCCAGGGGCCCAAGATATCTTGGAGGCCCATTCAGTCAGGGGCCTGTTTTCCCAAACTTCTATTTCTTTGTTTGGTCTCTCTGCCTTTGGTAATATTTTTCCATCAGACTAGTTTGCATGTTAATGCAAGATTGCTCTCTCATGTGTTTGTCCCTCTTTCTCCCCAGACATTCTACATGCTTACATCAAAGGAGTTTGTTTTGCCTGTTAATTCTGTCTTCAGGTACACAGAGACTGGTTAATTACTGAGGCTCAAGGAGAGTGGCCCTCAGACCCCCCCATTCTGCACTTAGATGGGATGCCCTTTGCTGTCCTGGGCCATCTGGGCTCTCCTAGGCTCCTCGGCCCTGCTCTTCCTCCTTACCCCTTCTCCCTTCCCTAGCCCTTCCTGCTATAACATCTAGCTTTTCCTTGGACCTTGCCAGCATGGCCAGGTCAGGTTCTTCCCTGCTCTTTGACCTGTGGTCTTTGTACTCAGGCTTGATAAACACCATCAAGAGATCTTCTGTCCCCTGCATCGTCACTTGAGTCCTAATTCCCCAGAGCTTTCCTAGCCAAGTTTTTCCTGAGCACCTTTCGTTGGGCAATGAGCTGAAGAATTGGCTTCTTCTTTCCTTGGGAGCCCTCATCTTGGTTTCACCTACTAGGAGGGAGAAGTGGCTTCAAGGAAAGCCCAGGAATAGAGGTTTAGGGACTGGTAAGACACGAGCAGAATGGCACGAACAAGGAGAACTGTGTGGCTCTGCCTCTCCCACTGGCTCCTGGAACAGCTTTTAAAAGTGCTGAGCAGACCTCCTCCAACCACTCCCCATGCCCCCACCCCCACCCGCACATTCACCAGCGGGTGGAGACATGGACAGAGGATAAATAGCCTCCACCCTACACTGGAGCTCACCTGGGTGTCACCTGCTCCTGGGGCATTATCTCTGCTCCTCTGGACTCTGCCCTCCCTTCTCCTGGACCTCCAAGGCTGCCAGTTCTTCCTGTCTCAGGCATCTCCTGGGCTTCTCCTATGCAAAGCTCAGGACTTATAGGGTTCGTTAGATTATGAGCTCATCAAGGGCAGGGAGCATGCCTTGCTCCCCCAGCACCCTAGCACAGCACATGCATGGCACAAAACAGGGGCTTAGGCCCTGAGAGTCAAAGTCATGAATGCCTTTTCCTGCCTGGCTGGACCCTTGGTGCTGGTCCTTCCTGGCTTCCTGGCTCCTGCATGGCAAGAGGAGGCATTTGACACTGTCTGCAAAACTATTCCTGAGTCACTCACATTAAAGTTTAAATATCAAAATGCTGTCTGTCCAGAAGCCAGAAACCCATTGAGTCACATGGTTGAGGTTCCCTTCCCCAAAAGTGCAGAGGCTCTGTCACTCTTTCCCCGGTCCTTACTGCTCTACATATCTGGTAATAAGATGCCTCTGATGGAAATTTTTCAGAAATCACCAGATGATGAAAGCAATGGCCTGAGACCAAAGTGGGAATCGTATGGAGCTTCCCCTCCACATATTCTCATGGTAGGGTTTCTTCTAGCCGGGGGTGGGGGCGCAGGGGGGTGGGCCTTCCGGCCCCTATTTTCTTTAACATCTCCATATTTTAAAAAATGCATTCAGCAAAGATTCTAAATTCATGTATATTAAGGTACCAGTGACTGACACTAGCTTAGATATGATCATTCCTGGAGGATTTTGGAATTAAAAGATGGCCAACGCTTTAAGCTAAAGGAATAAAGTTCCAGTGGTGAAATGTTAGGCATCAGGAGATGGAAGGAGAAGGTAGTATTCAGGCAGCAAAAGATCCTCCTCTTGATTATTAGCTGGCTGAACTCGCGTACGTCACTTGACCTTTCAGAGCCTTGGGATTCTCACCTACCAAGTGGGGAGAACAAAGTTTACCTGGATGATGGGGTGTATATAAAGGAACTTTGGAAACTGTAAAGTGTTGTGCACATGTCAGCATAGTATTAGGCAAAAAGAGTCCTGAAAGATTTTTCAGGGAAAACAAAAACAATGACAAAAATATGGGGGGGGGGGAGTTAGAAACCCAGAGTTTGGGGCCAGTTCTTCCACTGCACTACTGGGTAACTCTGGATAATATATATAACTTCGGGCCCTGCAGCATCAATGTCCTCACCTAGCCTATTTTCTCTTTCTCCTCG